GGCAGAGAAGTGCCTGCAGGCAGGCTACTGGGCTCGGTCCTCAGGGAATTGACTCTTCATCAGTGCTGCAGCAAATTCAAGATACTTAAGGTTTTTCACTGCCCCTCATGATGGGAGAATCTGGCTGAACCTGTTCCCTGGTAGTTGTAAAGTTGTAGAAAGAAGGGAGTGGAGGAGAGCTTCTGAAATATTCCAGGAATGGGATATCCTGGGGAGCTATCCATAGAATTGGGATTGTTCAGCTTAGACACTTGGGGGTGACCTAATTGCAGCCTTCCAGCACCTGAAGGGAGCTTAAAAGAAGTGGTACAAGAGCATGTAGTGACAGGACAAAGGGGAATGGCTTCAAACAGAAAGAGAACAGGTTTAGATTAGATACTGGGAAGAAATTCTTTACTGTGAGGGTGGTGAGGCACCTCGAGAAGCTGTGTGGATGCCCTGTTCCTGGAAGTGTTCAAGGCCAGGTTGGACAGGGCTTTGAGCAACCTACTGGAAGGTGTCTGCCCAAAGCAGGGCAGTTGGAATCAGGTGATCTTTAAGGTCCCTTCAAACCCCAGGCATTCTGTGATTTCCTCAGACTTTATCCTCCTTTAAAAAGTCATCTGTCTTCTCTGAACTCTTGATTTCCTTTTCTGTCACTCATAGAAATCTGGTGTTTTTATTCAATAGTAAAGGCTTGTTCACACTTTGGCACTGCAGTAAAATCAAGACAGGTTCACTGGATTATATGGATGTCTTGTATGGATCCTTTTTGAAAATTAAAACGGCTCTAACTCATTTTGGAAGTAAATTATATTGAAGTGTGCTACATGAGCTCTAAGGAAGCGCAGATGGCTCTAGATTTGATCCTCTTTATATTGAGACTATCCAAAATTCCTGCCTTTAATTCAGGTGGAACTTTGTCTGCACAGGGTCACCGGATTTCTTGGCAGCCCAGGGCTGGGAAGTTCGACTGGATCGAGTTCCTGTAGAAATATCGCTGCAGCCGCTCTTGTGCGGAATCAGAGCCCCCTTTCCCCGCTGCCAGCGTTTCCTCGAGTGAATTTGCTTATTTATTCACCTATTTTGTCAGACTCCTGAGAGCTGCGGGTTGAGTGGCAATCTGCTCCCAGCCCCTAGTGATTTCTGTTTCCCACGCCGGTCGCTGCGGGCTCTGGGCGCTCCAGGAGCCGGCGTGTCCCGGGCGCGGGTGGGAGCGGCCGGAGCCGGGCAGGTGCCGGTGCCGCTGCGGGGCGGGCGCGGTGCCCGGGCAGACGTGGCAGCGCCCGGGGCCGCCCCGGCGGGAGGCGGTGCTGCGGGAGCCGGCGGCGAGGAGGGCCCGGGAGCCGCCAGGTGAGTGGGGTCGGCACGGCGGGGACACCCCCGAGCCGGGATAGGGGAGCGGCCTGAGGCCCGGGGACCGCGCGGGTGGCGCCGGGCTCGGCTCGGCTCTGCCCGCTGCTCCCTCCGGCGTTGCGGAGGCTCGGGCGGGGCGGAGGGAAGGAGGAGAACGGGAGAGAGGAAAGGTAAAAAAATGAAAAAACCGTGGTGGTGGTGCTGGGGGGGCAAAGCTGGAAAAGAAGCAGCCCCCCAAAAAGGTAAAAGAAAAAAAAAAAAGAAAGGCTAATAAAAAAGGGCGTGGGGAGGACGTTGAAAAGAACACAGAACAAAACCAAACAGAAAACCAACAAAAGAAAGGTAAAAGAAAACCAGAAAAGAGGAAAGAAAAGAGAGAAAAAAAAAACCAAAAAAAACCCCAAACCAAAACAGGGAAACAAATAGGGGGAAAAAAGTGAAAAATTGAGGAAAAAAGTGAATTAAAAAAAATTTAAAAAAAGGAAGAGAGGGCAGAGGGGACGGGTGAGTGGGAGCGCTGGCCGGGCAGCCCCGTGTGGCGATGGCCGCAGCCCGCGGCACGAAGGTGTTGGACACGCCGTGGCCTCTGCCAAAGCGAAGCTCTCCGGCCACGGCGGAAAACTGAAGTTGCTGGGGAGAGTCCAGGCTCGTTTCCCACGTGTGATATTCCGCAGCTCTACGGAGATATGTGAAAACAAAAACGAGCTCGGTAATTGTCCTGGCTGTGCAGTAAATGAGTAACTGGGAATAGCCAAGCGCTGCTCGGTGTGGCGTTACCTTTGTTGCACTGATGGCTGCTTTATTTCCCTCTAATTCCGCTTTCCTAAAAGGCTCCTAAATTAGGTGTTTTCAAGAGCTTGACCCAGAGAGGAGTTGAAGGGACTTATTAAAACTAAAATGCTGTTGGCTGCTGGGTCCCTCGGGAGGAGAGGCTTTAGGAGCACCTCCTCTGGCGAGCACGGAGGCTTCGGAGGTCGTGGGACCACACGCAGTTGTGCTTGGGAAGGCGTTAACCTTTCCTCTTCAAAATCAGCCAGCTGTTGAGTAGCTCAGAGCAGCGACGCTTAGCTCAGAAGCAGCTTTAATGTGATGATTAATAAAATAGTGCTTTGAAAGGATATGGAGGGCACAGGAATTTAATCTATAGGAATCTGGTTTTGCAATTAAATATAGAAGTGTTGCAGGAAAAGGAGATGAGCTTTTGTAAAGTTTCTGCAAGACTTGCTAATGCTCTTCTGCTCCCTTGAGTGCTAAATGATATGGAAAGATTAAAACAGACGTTTGTCTTTAATTTATAGACTGGTTAGTGTATTTGGCAGAAACTTCAGGAAAAATAACAGCAATTTACTTTCAAGTTAGAGGCTCAGTTATATTAGAGGAAAATTGTGTCTGTTTATTTATCCTGCTGGTGTGTATAGCAGGAAAAGCTTCCTCGGGGTTGGTGACCTGGAGATAAAATAGCACCCAAAAATAACCCTGTGCTGATAGAGTGCTGTGTGGGGCAAGAGGAGGGTGCCTGCCCCAAGGAGTTTCCACTCACAGACCCTAAATTGCAGAAATACTTTCATGTTCATGGATTGGGATGTGGCTGTGTGCGTTTGTTCAGCTCCCACCTCTGTGCTTTACACCCCCTCCAGTGTTTGCTTTGGCTACCTCGTAGGGACCAATGCACCCATGAGTTGTGGTGGGATGTAAATAATTATATAATTGGGTAATAAGATTTTTAAGAGGTTGGAAAATGCCACAGAGGAGCAGTAGTGCAGAGGCAATTTCCTGGGATTGTGGAAGATCTTAAACCAAGGTGAGCAGTAGCTGAGCAGAAAGAGCCCCAGAGCACAGGGCAGGAGAAGGGTTTTAAAGCAGAGAAAAAGGAAGGAAATGGTGAGATAAGGGGATTTAAATGTCTAGGCAGGTAATATTTCTTGCTAGGTGTGCTTCAGTCTAAAATCCATGTGTGCAGCTTTTCTTTCTGCATTTTGCAAGTTTCGTATGGGTAATATGGGTGCATCACACCTATCCACATAATGTTACACACCAGGCACGCTGGGCGAGTCACTTCAGCCCTGAGCTACTGTAAGGGGTTGGAGCCATCTCCTTCTGATGCCCTTGGAGTGGTTTAGGAGAGCTGCAGCCTCCCTGTTTCTCCACATCTAGATGGGACTGCAGCAGCAGACTGGAGTTTGGATGACCCCAGTGAATGCTTTTACTGAGTCAAGTCTTTGTTGAGGAAGGAATGCACTGGGGATTCTTAGGAGAATATGACTATTCAATTGTAATCTTGTTTCACGTTGTGTATTTTCTTCCATTTTTTATTACTGTGGCTGTTTGAAAAAAAGCATGAGCTTTGTTTCTTTGGAGTTCATCTACTCCTGCTGCTTTTGCCCTACTTGAAGCCCCAATCTCCCTGTGACAGAAACCATTTGGGATGTTGTGAAGGGTTATTTGCTTCAAGAAATGTGGAGGCAACAGCAGGGCATCAATGAACTCTTATGTCTTTGGTGCTGCTTAACTGGCTATGTGGGCAGGGCAAAGAAAAACCTCCCATGCTGGCCATTGTACCCCAGCTGCAGGAGACCTTCTGCAACTGAAACACTGTGGTGGAGCAGCATCTGCTTTGGTTATTTAATACTGGGTATTCCAAAGTAGAGTAATAAGGGCAGGGTGGTGAAGGGCTTTCAGACCCTGGTGCAGAAATCCTGAGTGACACAGAGTAGTTTCTGTATGTCTGTCCCTGTGCAGTAGGCAAAGCACATTTCTGTTGGATTCCTGCCCTGTGCCCGTGATTCATTTGGTCTCTGGTCTCAGGTAAGGTGTCCAGCCACTGGTACAAGCCTTGTGTGATCATGGTTGGCCCTTGTAAGCATGTGGGCTCAGCTGGCCAGCAAATTACCAGCCCCAGGAGAGCCAATGATCCAGATCCAAACTGCCCTCTCCACATTTGTGGAGCAAGTCTTGCTCCCCTCTGGCTGCAGCCCTCTTTGTCTTACCTAGGCATGATGTACTCTACTGAGGAATAGCCAAAATGTCTCTCTTGACACCTGGTGTGGGAGACTGTGGGTGACTGAATGCACTGGCAGGACCTTGGTCTGCAAAAGGCACAGCTGAAGGAGATGTGATGAAGGCTGTGAAGTGATGAGTGGTGCTGGGAAGTGAATAATCCATGTGTCCTATGTCACTGGAGCACAGGAACATGCAACGACATTACCAGGCACCAGATTTAAAACCAACGAGAGGAAATGCATTTTGCAGACAACACTGTGGAGCTGTGGAGCCAGTGCTACAGGATGCTGGGGTTAGATTTGGAAAAGGCTGCCAAGAGCTGTTAAATGTGTGGCTGATGGTGGAGCCTGTGCTGGAAGCAGGGCTTGGGAGAGTGCTGGAGGAGCATTGCTCTCTGCTTGCTGTGGTGTCACTCTGGTTCAGCTACAAGCTGCTATTGACTGTGTGGACAATGGCATTGTGCTTTGGCAGACTAAGAAAGCAGCGGTCGTGTCTTTCATCTTTTCTGCTTTCACAGTAAAGCTGGAATAAAACCATGAATCTTCTACAGTGGAGGGCCCAGCACTGCAGGAATTTGACTGAGCTGACCTTCCACTCAGAGCAGCTTCGCCTGTGGCTGTGTTAGAGCTGTGCTTTGGGCAGGCGGAGGTAGCACGGAGGGGACGATGTTCAGCCGGAATGGCGCTCGAAGTGAGGGATACGTCCAAGAGCTCTTCCATGAGGAAGCCCAGCAGGTATGTCAGAGAGCCATTTCCTTTCCCAAATTTCTATCTCCATGGCCTCTGCACTCCTGGTCACCTCTGTGGCAGGGAAAGTAACAAAACTGCCCTTCGTTTTGCTATGTAAATCTGAGGTGTATGACTTGGAAAGAGGAGACTCGATTTCCAGAAGACAAGAGGAGGCAGTTGCCACAGGAAAACTGCAGTTTCCCTGGAGATTCAGATCTTGGTTCCAACAACTCTGGTAAATCATTATGCCCCAAGTCCCAGAGTCCCACATCTCCTGGAGAAGCAAAGGATCCTGGTCAGATATGACTGCGATGGGAAGACCATCTTAACCTACTCTGTTGGTCAGAGCTGGTCCAGCCTGGTTTGTCATATCCTCTAAGGGGCTTCTCCCATGCACTGAGGACCCTGCTTGCCTTGGTGGCGTGTTTGGTAGGGATGGGAGGAGAAGCACAGTGTGAAGCTGCAGGCTCTGGGAAGGACCCTTGAACTTGGTTCATGCATTGGGGTTAATTCACTGAGGCACAATAGGGTTCTGTTGCTGCTTATCCTATAAGAATATAAACAGGGTATTTTAGGGAGCTCTCTCTTTCAGGGCCCAGGCATCCCAACAGCCTGACAGCCCTTCATCTTAGGGACAACTTACAGCAAAGGAGTGTCTTAGCAGCTGTTGGTGGCCATCCCCCTGCTGGTGTCTGGCTCTGGCCCCATTTGTGCAGCCTGCCTTTAAAACATGACAGGTAAACCCAAGGCTTTGCTTTTCTCTAGGTGTCTCAAACACAGACCAAGCCCTGGTGGAAGATCCAGCTGTTTGTATGGGAGCCAGTGCTTTTTGGAACGTGGGACGGGGTCTTCACCTCCTGCATGATCAACATTTTTGGAGTTGTTCTTTTCCTGAGGACAGGATGGCTTGTGGTGAGCGAGCACTGACTTGGTTGAATGTTTAAACAGACATTTTCCTCTGCCCCTCCTTACCTTGTACCCCCATCACCACCCAAGTGTTTTGGATTCTGTGCTCTTCGTTATAGATGTTGCTCACGCTCTCTGGTATTTTGTAGCTTTTCAAGAAGTTCCACTAAAATGTGCAGCTGAAGTGGTCTGTGTGAGTGGTTTCCTCTCTTACCTTTCAGAAAGATAAAGGATAAAACAACCAGCCTTGACAATGAACAGGGACACCCTTGTGTTGTGTTGTTGAGGAGAAATTAGCACTTTTCAGGTAAAGTAATTACAACCACTCATCCATCTTCCCAACACCACTGATGGAGTTCTCTCCCAAACATGCCAGTGTTGGAGTCCCTGATTTTTTGAATGGGGAATGCTCAGTCAGATGAAATTGTCATTGTTATCAAAGGATCTTCCACCGCTGGGTCCTTAATAGTATCTCACTGAGGGCCAGAGCCTGGGATACTGTCCCTTCCTGGTGCAAAACCTTGTATTATGCCTCAAAATTTCCCCTTAGAAGAAAGAAAGCTTCCCCAGAGATGGATGGGACTTGAGCTTCAGGCAGAGTTCTTTGTCACAGGCATGGTGAACACCTTCCAAAAGGAGCAGGAAGACACTTGCACTCTGTACTGAAAATTGCTTTGCTGGAGGTGTTGAGGGGAGCTGCAGTTGTCGTGGTGGAGAAGTTGGGATGATTTTTTAGCTTCCTTTTCCTTCTGATTTTATTTCCTCCACATCTCCTTGGAAAGCAAGTTACTTCTGGAGCAAACACAAATATAAATAAAGCCAGTAAATAAAAGAAAAACGGAACCAGCTGGAAGCTAGCATGAAAGGGAAGGGAGGAGAAGTCAGGGTTGGCAGAGAGCTCCCCTGGCAGAGGACAGTCATATGTTGAGCTATTCCCAGAGTCAGGCTTTTGCTATAAATTTCCAGAGCTGGAGCTGGGGCTGGTGTAGCTTTGCAGTTCCAGGGGACCTAATCTTGCTGAAATGTTCAGCAGGGATTGCTGCTGCACTAACCCCTTCCAGCATGCATGCATAAATAAGCATCAGTATTTAATGGGGGCTTTTTCTTCCCACTTTCTCTGCTTGCTATTGTTGCTGTGAGTCCAGCATTTCCCCTTGGTCCTAGTGCTAACCCTTTGTTCTGTAGGAGCCATTGGATTGTCCTTTAACTGCTGCCATAGCCTGGTACCACCTTTCTGGAAAAGCCCAAGGCTAAGTGAATGTTTGCATATGTTCACTTTTTTTTCTTTTTTTAACTGAAGCATATAATGTTTATTAACCATTTAACCTGGGGTAAGCAGCTGAAGAAAAAGAACAATTGTCCTTTTAAAAAGAAGTATGGGATTGGGTTGTGGTGCTGACCCGACCACAGCTGTGTTTATAGCAAGCCTTGGCTCTGTTCCCCACTGACCAGATAACACCCCTGTCAAAGGCGGCAGGATGCTGAACCAAAATAGGGTTTTATGATGATAGCAACATCCTGGATCTGTTTCTTTTTTTCTCACAAAAAAAAAAGAGAAAAGGAAAAGAAAATCTGGGATTTCAACCAACCCCAGAGAGAAGGAAAGCAGCCTTTTAGTGCTGGTGATAAAAACCCCATCGCGGCTAGTGTGACCTCAGAGATGAGTATTGCTGGAGCAAGGTTGGAAAGAGGGGATGGCCTGGAATATGAGTAAAAGTAAGAGAAGACAGATGTTAACAAAGCACTGGGCACTGGAGGAGACTTCTGACTGCTGTGCACTGGCCTGAGTGATTTGTCAGCAGGGGAAGGTGGGCTGGAGCACAAGGGAAAACTCCTGACCCTGGAAAATAAATTACAGCCATGTGTGAGAGAGTGGGAAGGTCCTGAGCTCAGAAGAGTTTTTAAATTCTTTGGGAGGTACTAAGCACCTTCTCTTTTTGAAAATCTGACCCTGAATAGCAAACTGAACCCCAAAAAGGAGTTTTGCTGGTCCTTAAAACTGCCAACGGGGACCTGCAGCTGTGTTTGTTCAGAGGCTTTTTCTCTTTGCCCCACAGTGGGACTGTGGCGGGTGCAGCAGCTCCTCCTGGGTCCCTCCCTCTGCCCCAAGCAGGAAGGGTTTTTTTTTTCCATGGGGCTGAATCCTGTGCAGAAAAGTCCCCCGAGTCCAGGCAGGGCGAGAGCCACCTGCCACTCTGCGTACGCCCTGCAGATAAGGGCCGGCGCACGCCGCTTTATGAGAGTGTTATTTATCTTCCACGCTGTGTTGCCTTTGGGGTTTTGTTCTTTGGGATCTCATTGTTCGGAAGGATCAGAGCTTTCAAAGGTAAATGTTCTGAAAAATTAAAATGCAAGCTTGATGCTGTTAATAAATCAGTCGTTGCAAATCCCAGGGGTTCAATTTTGAAACTACTTTTTGTTATGAAAGTGTTTTTTATTTTTAAGCATGTCATTCTAAACCGTGCAGACAGGCAGTGATCCTATGGTGGCTGAATCATTGTTTGACCTCATTCCTTTTAAACCAGAGGACAAAATCAGTGATTCATGGAGGAGCCCGTTGACAGAGCAGAACCTGCTCATGCAAAAGTCTGCCCAGCCCCAGGCTCGAGGACAAGACGGGTTCTCATCAAAGGGGTGCCAATAAAGGCTGTAAATTTGGCAATCAATTACGTTAATTAGACAAGTAGGGGTGTCTGTGTGTGTTTCTTTTAATCTGTAATGACTCCAGATTCATAGATCACTAGTGACTAGAAGTGGGTTGGTTCTTATTTTGTCCCAGCATATTGGTGTGAATTAATCTTTATTAGATTATTTTTTTTTTCATTCCAGGGAAACACTGGCATTGTAATGGGCATGTTTCTGGTGTCCTTTGTTATTCTGGTTGCCCTGGTGACAGTCTTGTCTGGAATTGGGGTGTGTGAGAAGTGCAGCATTGGAAGTGGAGGAGTCTACTCCATGATTTCTACTGTTCTTGGAGGTCAAGTAGGGGGCACCATTGGCCTCCTTTACATTTTTGGCCAGGTAATTTTAAAAAGTTATTCAAAGAAAATTTGGAAACTTTGCAATGCTGATATTAATCTTGTGCTGTCCTGCTGCAGAAAGCAATGTTTCAAGTAAAACCTGGGTAATGCTGCACCATGCTGGACGATGTGGGAGAACACCACAGGGAGCACTCAGCCCCACGCTGCTCCCCAGGAGCGAGCCTGTGCATGCCAATGTGCTGCCTGCCGTGGGTCACCCTGCTGGAGGAGCTGAGTGCCTGGACAAGCCATGCAGGACATGTCCTCCCATCCCAAATTACCCCCATTGCCAGGACATGCCCTTGCTGGCGGGAGAAATTAAATGAAGCAGGAGAGGTCAGGGTGGCCAGGCAAAGCTCAGTGAGTGGCTGTGGGCTGGCAGGTTGGCCCTGGTGTGCTCCACATACCCTTAGGGGTTGGGCAAGCCTTGGCTGCTTCTCTGTGGGAGCCAGCAGAATGGAGCTAGCTTGGGAGGAGAGCTGGGCAGGGGTAAGGGCCACAGCTAATTGACTTCTTGTGAGCCAAAAGTCACAGTTCCAGATTTTCTGAAAGATCCCAAGGAGCTGTTGTGGTGGTGAAGCACAAAAATACACACGTAGTATACAAAAAGAATGGAAAATAATCACTTAAGCCTGCAGTAACTTAACCCTCTCCCCCCATAAAGATGTTATGAACAGTAAAAATGTGGTGAGCAGAGAAGCATTTTTATGAAGGTTTGTTTCTAACTGACTAGCTTACAGCAATCTCCAAACCCCCTTAATAGCCCCCAAACCAAAAATAATCCCCTCTTCTCCTTTCACTCCAGATTAAAAGCAAGTGTCCATAAAATACGAACTGAACCCAGTTACAAGCCAAGATATGGAAATGGGCCACACATGAGAATCCTTCCTGTCATATTTTCCACTCTTGCTCTCCGAGAGGACCCCATCTGTGAAAGCAATCAGGTTGCAGCCTGTCCTGAGGGTCGTAAAAGCTGGACTGCAGCAGTCCTGGCCCCTGGCTTGGCATCCCATGTGCACAGGGGCTGCAGGCTGGGAGCTGGCAACTCACCTGAAATCGCTTTGCCTGCTCCTGAAAGCTGCTGATGCCTTTCCTTTCTCAGCTGTGCTTTCTGCCCAATGTGCCCTGCACCAGCTGTGGGCTGATCCCCTGCTACAGGATGCTCAGGGGGTGCTGTGACCTCTGTCATAAGGCAACTGCTGCCAGAAATGGTGTACTCCCTATTCCCTGCTCTGACTTGGGCAAGTGAGGAATGACTGGACACATCCTGCAGAGAAAGACTCTCAGGGTGTAGTTCCCCTGCTCTGTGTCTGCCTGTGATAGAAGTGAATCCTCCAGGATCTCCAAGTTGTAGGTGTCAGAGTCTGAACATCTGAATGCCATCAGCCTTGCTGAGAACCACACAAATCCTGCAGCTCCTGGGTATGAGCCAGGTTGTCCTGAACATCCTCAGTGAAGCAGTGCTGGGTCTGTCCCAGGTGGGGGATCTGCAGTGGGTGAGGGTTCTGCTCTGCTGTCTTGGGTGGGGGCCTTCTCCCTTCCAGTCATGTGGGAGCTGCACATCCCTCATCCGTGGGCAGGGATGGTGGGGTTGCAGGACCCAAGACATGTCACACCAGCCACATCCAATTCAGCTGTCTGCCCTGACATGGCTTTCCAGGGATACCATGCCATAGAAAGGGCTGTTACTGAAATGTCAGCTACTGGGAATTTCTGGAGGGAAACATCCTGATATTTTGGATTGTTGTCCTGCCGTGGTGTTTGAGGCCTGAGCCTGTGCTACAGCTGTCCTGTCCTGCAGGGTCTCGGCCCCTCGGGGCAGAGTGCGTGTCCTGTCCTGCTGCAAGGCAAACAGGCAGCTTTCCTGGGAGCTCAGGGAGGCACAGCTCACACAACCTGCTCTCCTCCAAAGTGTGGGCTCCGTTCCAGCAGCGAGATGGGGAGCCGGTGAAACGTCAGAGTTTGTGTCCAAACTAAACACCGAGTTAAAAATAACCCCCAGGAGGCAGTGAAGGGGGAAACAAACTGCTGTTCTCCAGACAGGTGTTGAACTGGGACCCTTTCCTCCAGAGAAACAGAGGAAACATAGAAGTTGACTCATCCTTTTCTCAGAGAAGCCAGTGTGGTTTCTCCTGGAGTGTTAATAGAGGGGAGATGTTACAGTGGAACATATGCCCCTAGCAGCCAGCCTTCCTGTTTGCCCAGGCAGTAGCTCTGCTGCCTTGGCAGTGTACTGTCTTACAGCAATGAGGTTCAGTCCCTGCAGGCCAGAGTGACATTAAAGGTTGTGCTGTGACAGCAAATGTCTGTCTGTCTGTCTGTCTGTCTGAACAGAGGCCCCCACAGCCCAGCAGGCTGTGGATGGGGATCCCTTTTTGTCCTGCAGGGCACTCACAGAGCTGTGTCTTTCAGTGTGTTGCAGGTGCCATGTACATCACTGGCTTTGCAGAGTCCATTGCAGGTGTCCTGAGCCTCAGCAACATCTGGGCAGTGCGTGGCATCTCCCTGGCTGTCCTGCTCGGCCTGCTGGGAATCAATCTGGCTGGGGTGAAGTGGATCATCAGGCTCCAGCTCCTGCTGCTCTTCTTGCTGGCTGTCTCAACACTGGACTTTGTCATTGGGTCCTTCACACACCTTGATCCAGGTAAAAGTGGGGGTTTATTGCATTGGGGTCAGCAGGCATTAGTTCCCTGGGGTTTTCTCCTTAGCTGTGTTTGTGAAGTGACACTCACTTGGACAGTGGTAGAGTTCAGAGCTTCCAGATGTGTGCCCTGTCCTTTGGTACTGATCTTTTAGAGATAACCCGTAATTCTGCAAGAAGTGTTTCCAGGGCATGCCTTATTTATTTAGGTGTTTAACCCCAGGGACTGAGCTCTCAGTTTTTGCTCTTGTTATGTTTCACTTGGAGGTTTTCTAACAGAGAGCATCTGTGTTTGCAGTGTTCTTTGTAGCCTCTGCTGCCTAACTCAGCATTAAACATTGTGCCCATGAAAATGGAAAATTGTGAATTTGAGCTGTGCTGATCTTGTCTGGAGACCTCTGAGGTCACTTAGAGCCTGGCTGTGCTGTGCTGTCCACTCTGCTGGGTCTGCTGCCCAGGGCTGTACTGGGGGTCCGAGGAGGGAGCTGCCTGAGGTGAGGGCAGGTGACCTCTGGGGTTTCAAGGACCCACGAGTGGGAGTTCTCCTGCTAACTTTTCCCAGACTGAGTTCAGCCTGCAGCGACAGCTCCAGCTCAGGCAAGGGGGAGAGGTTCAGGGCTCCCACCTGCAGCCCTGCACACACCAAGTCCTGCTCCCTCTCTTCTATTTGCTGAGAAACACATCTCAGCACGCCGCAGCCACTCCAGCAATAATGACGTGTAATTAGCAGAGCAAACAGAAGGTGTCACCTTTTTCTTGGCTTCCTCTGTGTCCAGCAGCACCTTGGGGGGTTGCAAGTGACCTACTAAAGTGAGTTTAAGGAAGGACCTTCAGTTTTCATTGACAGCTGTGTTTCAGCTGCTGGCAGGAGGTGTCAGGGGGGTACTCGTAGCACCGATGGCACAGGTGCCATTCCTGCTGCTGTTTTATCCTGCTGCCGCTGTCGTGTGCGAGGACGCTGGGGTGGGGGCAGAAGCTGCTGCTCCCCCGTCAGACAGAGCCTTATGGAAAGGCATTTACACTTTATATTTAGCATGTAGGAAATGCCCCAAATGAGAGCCTGTGAAAGTTTCAGCAATACCTGTAAATGAGAATGGAGCAAGGACAGTTGTGGTGTGTTTTGCAGAGGAAGCAAGCGACCTGCTCCAAACAGCTGCGTTTCATAGGAAGTTGTTTTCTAGAGGAAACGGGGCTGGAGGGGAGTGTGTTGTATTTTCCTTGTGCTCGTAGTAGACCTTTCTAATAGTAGAGAAAAATGAATACTCCAGGTGAGACCCGATTGTAGGAAAGTGAACATAGGACCAGGAGGCAAGAATTAAAGGAATATAAACATCAGCAGGAAACGTGCCCAAGTGGAGGCCAACATAGCTGTCTTTGATTTCCTCCAATGCCAAACACTGTCATATTCTTCTGACAGAAAATAGAGAAAGGAAGAGAAACGAGTCAGCTGAGCATTGCAGTTTAGCCATGCCTGACTAAAGAGAGGAGGGCTTCCAGGGCAAGAAGGACATCGGGCTGATGGTGGCCGTATCCCAGTAGCCCAGAGCAGAGCTGTCCTAGGGTGGGACAGTGCCAGGGGAGAGCCGTGGGATGGTTTCAGCGCTTCCACAGACGCTTCCCTGTGCCAGTAATTTGGGATGGGAGTTTTCCCTCCAGCCTGGGCGGGGGGGTCCTCCCAAGTGCTGCATTTCCCCAGCAGACCTCTGAGTGGTGTGTGAGCACCGAGGCTGAGCGCTGGGCTCCCCGGAGCCTCCTCACGCCGGGCTGCCCGCTTTCTGTGCGGCAGGGATGGATGGGTGGATGCATGCCTGACTCTCGGGATTGCAGCCACCAGCAAAGCATCCCTCCTGCAAGGAGCCTGCAGGCGGGACATGCGGGTGCAGCTGCAGCCTCCGGAGCCAGCTGATGGCAAGGGCAGGGTGCAGTGCATCAGAGCCCAGCACGGGGGGAAGCATTTGAGAGCCCTTAGGGGTGGGTGTTCCACTGATCTGCTCTTCACAGCCCTCAGGAACGTGCAGTTGTTCTCAGTTTGGTTCTGTGGCTGCAGCAGGACCTGAGATGCAAAGGCAACGTGCAGGGAGAGGTGGTTTTTGGAGCTGTGAGCTGGATTGTGGCTGACAGCTTGTCTGGGTCGTGTCCTTGTTTATGGCAGGTTTATGAGGTTTCAGTTCGCAGCCTTGGGTCTCGGTCTCTGACCCTGCAAAATAGGGCTTGTGCAGTCATCCTGCCTTTACTGCCATGGCAGCCTTTTCCCTCTCTTAACATTTCCAAGTGCTGCACACATACCGAAGGACTGCACATCTGCCAAGCAGCAGTAACTTGAATTTAAATAATCTCCAGGAATGCCTGTCCATCTTGAAGGTCTTAACTGGCTGCCTTTGTGTGGTTGTGCTGGGTGGAGTCCCCTGCTCTTCTCCCCATTCCCGCAGCTCACACCCAGGCACACACCAAATCGGATATTGTCCAAGCACTCACTCCCTTCCTGTGGTTTGCTTTTATTTTTAGTCTGAGGACGGAGCATGTTTACACAAAAGGGGGCTTCTCAGCAGGGCTTCCTGCTGCTCTTTCTCCTTTTTTTTTTCCTCTCTCTTGCTGTGGCTCACTCATGCGCCAAGAGCCACCCCGACTCCTGCAGCCAGGAGCTGGGACTGGAGGAGATGAGTGGCTCCAGGGGGCAGGGAGTGCTCTGGGTCACTTGTCCAGATGCTGCTGACCCCTCTGGGCCTCCCAGCCTGCTTGCTACCAGGCTACCCTGTCCCTCTGCCTGGCCCCCAGGGCTCTTGCTCCTTTCCACAGGCTGCCTGCAGGGTGGGGTGGGACTCGCTGATTTTTTGGAGTTAATCCTAAATCCTCCCTTGGCTTCAGCTGGCACTTCCCCTGGGGCTTGGTCAGAGTCCCAGGCTGGGATCTCTGCCAAGGGTGGGTAGGGAGGAGAGGGGCTCCCTGTCCTGTCTGAAAACCAACCTCCTCGAGCTGTATCTGGCCTCTTACCTTAAAATTCAGTCCCTCCTCCAGAAGCAGAGACCCCTGTGCTCCTTCCTTCAGACAGCAGACATCCCTATTCCCTTTCTCCCTAGGCACAGGTTAGTGTTTTTAGCAAACCTAACACAGGTGAATTGAAATCAGTCAGCTTTTTCAACCCATCACCCAGACCTGGCACTTGCTACAGATTTTCATAGCAGCAGTGCAGAGTTGTTTTGGCTTGTGTATGTGTATTTTAATGATGGAGGTCCATACCCCAAAATCAGGCTGAGTTATTTTAGGAGGAGCAGTGAAAGTAGAGGAGAGGATGCTCCTCTCCCCGACCAGCTCCTCAGAACAGTATGTGAAACTTTCTGGCCTTTTCACGTCCCGAACGTTAGAGTCACGGAAAAAAGAAGATAAGCCATCCGTTAATGCCCACTATTTTATTTTCCTAGCATATCTCTGCTAATTTTTGTGTAGGGTGACTCCCAAATACTCCCTTCCAATTAGGCGCCTGCTTTCCTGTTTTGGTGGTGACTCCCAGGTGCCCTGTGAAAGCTGTGGGAGCTCCTGGGGCGGCCATCCCTGGGAGGAGGGCTGCTGTTAATTTCGTTCTGCTTTGATGGGGAGATGAAAGCAATCACAACGTGAGCAAAAGGGGCCCAAGAACAGCCTCTGAAATGCCTGGTGGGGGAAAAAAATAAATTATCTTGTTAGAAATTCAGTAATTGTTAGCAATTCAGTAATTCCCCTTGGACTGGGGTTCCCTTGTCCTGCTGCAGATGGTACCACATGGCTGGGGTGAGCGTGGAGCTTGGCTGTGTGAGGCTAAACCCCTCTCCTCAGGCTGGAAAATCTGGGTAGTTCATTTCTCAGGGATGCAGGGAGGTTTGAAAGGCATATTGCTGTCAGGATGCTTCTTCTTGGGATTCTTTTCTATGCAAACCACATCCTTCACATCACCCACTTGGGTTTCAGCTTCCCAAAGCTGCTCACACAGAGCCCAGAAAACTCATTTATCATCTTCATTTATTCCTCTGAGGGCAAGTGCTTTGGAGGATTCCTCCTCCTCCAGTGTTCTATGACCAAGCTGGGGAGCTGATGCAGTCCTGTGGGTACCACTGGTGAGGATCTGTGGGAGATGAGTTTTGCCTGGAGCTGCTCTGGCAGACAGGGAACCTGCAATTGTTGAAGTGATTTATGTATATAGACACTGTGGTGTCGTAAAGATCCCTCAAATGCTGCCTCTGGGGCTTCGGTGGAATGAATTAATTAAAAATATTGCCACAGATTGAATATGAGAGTGATCAAAGCATTCTAATCAGGGGCTTCTGCTTGGCTCTGGGTTGTTTTATTTTATTTTTGGGCATGAGGGGTGTGCTCCAATATCATAAGAGAGGGTGCAGGAAGGATGTGTGTGTCAGAAGATGATCTGCAGCAAATCCCAGAGGCTTTATCCAGGCTGATTGCTGACTTCCTGGCCTGAGACACATCTGGAAACTGGCATCAAATCCCAAGTAGAAATCACTGTGCAAACGGCAGTAGAAAAAAAATAAAATCCCACTTTGCTGCTGAACAAGGTACGCACCGTGGTGAGTAAAGGCAGGAGGCTGCTAATACACTCTTTATTTATTAAAAAACATGGGATTGCTTTCCCCAGGTTTTTCCAATTATAGTGCATTGAATGGCCCTGACATCACTCTTGAGTCGGGGCCAGCCTATTCAACAGTCTGGCGAAGACATTTATTAACTGGTTACCTGCCAATTGTCTGGGCTAGGAGCTGCGGGACAGATGTGTTTTGGAAAGTGATAACATTGTTAGAGGCCTTATTTAGATAGTGAGAGGAAAGCTACACCACTCTGCCCAGGTTCTCTGAAGCAGGTATTTAAAGCAGTTTATTTAGAACTAAAAACCAAACCAGTTGTGTTGAGCTGTAACTCTGCAGCCCTGTTTGCGGGTGGGTTTTCACGTTGTTTCCACGCTGGAGGACATCCAGCGGCAGGGCTGCGTTGAGGAGCAGCAGTCTCGATTGCCGGCG